TGCCTTTCCCTCTCTGCCTTGATATCAGCCTTGCACTTCTGGATGTTTCCAGGGTGACCAGGCGAACTCGAGTGATAGCGTTGTGGTGAGGTCCAAGCCATTGTCCTCCACTCTCAGCAGGTGCTTTCTGCATCATCTTCTCAAGCAGGTTTTCTTTAAATACTTAGGGATCAGTTTAATTAGAACAGAAGTATATAAGCCAAGAGCATCAGGGAAAGGTATGGATGGGGAGGAAGTCTGAGAAGTCAGGCCCAGGGTTGTGATCATTCCCCACCTGGGGCCACACAGGACGTGAGCAGAACGTGTCTCCCCAGAGAAAACTGTTCAAGTTTTTGCGTCTGAGGCTTTTATTGAGAGCCAGTCCCATCAAGACATCATGCTACCTGACAGTCACAGTCACTAGAACTCAGGATCCCAATGGTGAAGGCAGATGCACATCAAGTGTGCCCACGTGTGTGCAGAGCATTCCTGACAGGCTGAAAGGACGTGGCCCATTGCTCCAGGTGTACAAGGCATGATCATGGACCATGGACATCAGAACTCTGAGGGCCACATTCCCAGGGCTTGGCCAAGGGTCAGTCACAGCTCTAGGTTCCCTTGAAGACATGCAAGGACTGAACAGCAAGACCTGCTCAGGACACACCTCCTCACACTCCACGTGCACTATTTAAAACTCAGCAGAGCCCCATCATATGGGGGATTGTGTGGGTGGACTCTGAATGGATCAAGATCACATGCAGTCTTACTGAACTGGGTCTGGACTGTGATGGGTTCATGTTCACTGATCCTGCCCTGTCTTCTCACCACCAGCTATCAGGGTGCTGAGGATTTACATATGCATCTGAGTAATAAGAGATAATACATGCACACAATGCAGCATTGTGGGCCAGCTACTCAACCAAAAGGTTGTGATCCCAGCTACTCAGAAGGTTGAGGCAGGAGGATCACAAATTTGAGGCCAGCCTAGGCAACTTAATGAGACACTGTCTCAAAATTAAAAAAAAAATATATATATTTTAAGTAGCAGCTCAGTGGCAGAACACTTGCCTGCCATGTGTGAACCCCTTTGTTCAATATCCCCCCACCCTCCCACCCCACCCCCACAAGAAAAGCATTGTGGGAGCTACAGACTTGAATTTCCTACAGGTATTACCTGTTTTAAAAAGAAAATTGAAAAAGGAATAAGTTGCAAATTATTCTGGGTTTAAAAAGCCTGACCTTAAAAAAAATCTGCAAATAGAAGCAAAAGTTGTGATCAAATTTTAAATCATCATGACAAAATTTTAGATATATGCAAAAAAGTAGGGTAATATACTGACCTCTCATATAATTATTATTCAGATTAAACAATTATCACTCCATAGCCAATCTTGTTTCAATTAGATTTTTTTAAAAACCATTATCCATTTGTATCTTAAAAGATAATAACTTTTTAAAGTGCACAAATACTACTGTTACTTCATCTACAACATAACCTTGAGAATACCTTATGTTTCAGTTAGCTTTTGTGTCACTGTCACTAGAAGATCTGACAGGAACACCTTAGAGGAAGAAAAGTTCATTTTGTCTCACTGTTTCAGAGGTCAGTTCTCTGACCAGCTGACTCCTAGCTCGGGGCCCCCAGTGAGGCAGAACAAGGAGGCAGAAGGGTGTGGCAGTCACCCCCACATGCATGCCCCCAGGGACCTGCCTCCCCCAGGGTGTCCCACCTACCTACAGTTACTGCCTGATTAATCCATACCAGTGGGTTACCCGCCTGATTGGGTCACAATCTGATGATTTCATTGCTGAAAACTTTTGCATTGTCTCATACTCAAGCTTTTGGGGGATATCTCATAACTAAACCATAACATTCGGCCTTGGCCCCCCAAAACTCATGCCAACTTCACAACACAAAGCACATTCAGTCTATTTCCAAGAGTCCCCACGACCTGAACAGTCCCACCATTACCCAAAAGTCCAAGTCCTAACCCTCTTTTGAGATTCAAGGCAAACTTTTCCCCTGCAAATCTGTACTTCATCCAGTTGTCAGGAGCCCTGCACTTTAGGGAACACCCCTTGCTGGTGGACAAAGAAGTAGCCTCCGGGAGGCAGCCTGCTGGAGGCCGGGTGGTGTATGTCAGCTGATACCCAGAAGAGCTGGTGAAACCTGCCAGTGTCTGACAACTGAAGCAGGAGGAAGTTAGTTTTTGCAGCTGTTTGTGGAGTGGGCTCAGTGACAGACGGGCTGACGGTCTGCCTTTCACAGCCATTGACCCCGCTTTCTACAGCACCTGGGGTTTCCTTGGAAACTGTGAAGAGGCACTTGGCAGATGAGAAGGGGGAGGCTTTCACAAGCAATCCCCCAGCCCGCACCCAGCCAGGGTCTGCTCAGGGCTGGGCGGGTGCCTTTTGGCCTCCATGACTCTGCAGGCTCCCCAGCCTTGTGAGGGCAGAGGGGTGGGTGCAGAGCTGGGGCCTGGGGAGGGAGGCTGAGGCTCCTGACAGAGACAGGGGAGGGCGTCGGGTGGGGGGGGAGGTTCCCTGTGGGCTGAGATTGGGGGAAGTTTGGGGAAGCCAGCTCTGTCCCGTCCGGCAGGACACATCAGCGTGGGCAGGGAACCTAGATGGGCAGGAATGAAGGGACAAGAGACACGAAAGGTGACAGCAAGACAGGTGTCTGATCAAGCTGCAAACTTTTATTGTTCACACAGGGGTATTTATATGCTGGGGATGGGGAAGCTCTCTAATCAGCAATTGCTGGATGTGGGTGGTAAAACTGCCAGCTGCAAGATGTCTGATGATCCTGATAACCGCAGGATGTTCCAGGGAGATAGGTAGCTGCAGGATGTCTCCCAGGGGGCTGTCAGGCTGTTCTTTGAAGGAGAATTTCCTTCTAGTCCCTGACATCTCCCCCTTTCTTATATAAAATATTTGACCATACCTTACCGGCCATGTTTTTAGGGGGTGATAGAGGCTCTGTTCCTCTAGGAGGCCTTAGAATATCTCCTGATCCGAGCGAGCACCTTCACTAGGAGATTTCGTGGTGGCCTTGGCATGTTTTTGGAGGAGACAGCTTTGAGGGGGGAGCATGCCAACTGCCATGCACCAGAGCGTGTCACTCAGAGGTCTTGGGTTTTGGGATCCGTGGATCCATCCTCCTGCAGTCCTTCCTGCACCCTCCATCATTATGGCCTAACGTCCTCACTCCATCGGTGAGTCCTCCCCCAAGTGGAGGGGCCCATGGAGGAGCGAACCCTTATGGCAAGGGCAGAAGATGGTTGGTCAGAGCTGTTACTTATACTTTTATATAAGAAAGAGAGATCTGTGGGGATGTAAACTTAAGAAATAAGCCTGTGAGGAGGGTAGAACATCCTTTTAAATGTTGGCAGCATGGTCTTCCATCTCCAGATGATGATAGTGGACCTGTATGGGCTTAGAGGCCAAAATATTAATATGTTCTTTAATAAATTTTACCAGCCTGTTTATAATGCAAGGTCCTATGGACACCATTAAAAGTAAACCCAACAAAGGGCCTAATAGTGGAAGAAGGTAGGGTAAAAATCCATTAAGCCCAGTCCAGAGGGGATTTTCAAATATTTCCCTTCGTCTCTTTTCTAAATCTTCTTGAAGCTGCTTAATTTTAGTGCGTACTATGCCTGATTTATTGGCATAAAAGCAGCATCTTTCCCCTAGGGCCAAGCAAATACCTCCCTGGTTAGCTGTCAGCAAATCTAAGCCTCGTCTGTTTTGAAGGACCACTTCTGCCAGGGAGTCTATTTGGTCCTGTAAATCTTTAATGGTTCCTGATAGAGTTTGTACATCATCTATAAGTTGTTGAGATAGGCAACGGTAAGAGTGTATAGCCATGCCTAAGCCAGCTGTACCTGTGCCCACAGCAGCTGTTATTCCAAGGCTGGCAAGGAGTGGTAAGGCCTGTATTGCCCGCCTGTGTCTTTTGACTAAGGTGTCTAGGCTAGGAATGGGTAGAGGTTCGTCTCCTGGGACAAAAGTTATATCAGGGAGTAATAAGGCAAGAACACAGCCACCGGTCCAATTCGCTGGAAGCCTGGGGAAGGCTGAGTTTCCTCCACACATAAAAACTGTGCCATTGGGGAGACAAAGAGATGGGGTGGGTGAGGAATAAATTTGTACTGTTGAGCAATTTCCAAAGGAAGTAACTCCAACATCAATATCATAGGTATTATTCTGCATCGCGCCTAAAAGACATGATGTAAAAGTGCCTATAGGCTGTACTTTAAAAGGAAATCCGGGTTGGCATGTATTATCATTGTCTATGATAGAATTAATAGGAACTTCCATAGGCATGATTGCCCCTGTTGTCATGCAGAGCCAGCAATCACCAGCAGGGTCGGGTTGGAATTATTAAGCAAGGAGAAGGTAGTTTCCAAAATATCTAATGTATTGGTATCTAAATCTGGGAGCTGGGATTTAGGCAGCATTAAGGGATGATATGTGAGCTCAGGGATTTGGGGTTTTAAAAGTTTGATTATCTGAAGATGCTTGACAGCATCAGTGGGTCCTCCACCATCAGAGACCCCTGTAGGGGCCTTAATGGGCCAGCAGGAGGGTTTACCGACAGTGCCTTGGCATCCAGCTGACTGTAACTTGGTGTATATGCCTTCTCCTCCCCGGTCAAAGAGAACGGGGGTATAATGAATAGTGGTCCCTCCTGCTGCATGAGTTTTAGTTAGGGTGGCTTCAAAAAATTGTTCTCCCTGCTTGTTAACACAAATTGAGGCTGACGCATAACAAGAGACATGCATCGCCTGGGTATACGTGCAAGTTGCAGAACAATTTTGGAGAGCTTTACTTGTACTGGGGGGAATAATCTTTGGCTTGTTAACACATACCCATTCAGGCTGATGAAATCCTCCGAGTTTATGGTCAACCTCAGCACGGAGGTAAGCCACCTTAGTCACGCAGTCAGCAGTCTGGGTCCAACTAGTGGGAGCCTGAGTCCAAGATCCTCCCTTGCATTCGCAGGGGGGGCCAAAAAGGTACTCCCTGATGTTGGAAGGTGGAGGGTCAAGGCCTCCGTATACAAACCTGTTCAGCAGAAGTGCCTTAAGCAGGATCCTCACACAGATTGTTGGCTGCATCTGCAAAAGAGGAAACTTTGTCCTCAGGGGGAGGGCCTCCGTCCCTGGGTTGAGGTAAGTCATTAACCTGTTTAACCAGGCGTTCTGGTAACCATCTTGGGGCTGCTTGCTCTTGGTCCAAAACACAAGCTGAGCCTCGTCCCCAGATGAGGACAGGATCTGGGCCTTTCCATTTATTTGTAAGGGGATTGAGCCACATAACAGGTGGGCGAACAGAATTGGATGAGGGATGCCAGTGTCTGTCTGTAGCCGAATGGCCTTCAGTGTCTAGGGTAAGAAAATTAAGAGCAAATAATGCATGGTTAAGGCGATCCCTGGGAGTGGTAAATACAAGGGAAGAAGCCTTAAGGCGGGTTAGCCAAGTCTTTAAGGTAAGGTGGGCACGTTCCACAATGCCTTGGCCCTGAGGGTTGTATGGAATTCCAGTAGTATGACAAATTTGTAAGGTAGCACAAAACTGTTTAAACTTGGCACTGGTATATGCAGGACCATTATCTGTTTTAATATGTATTGGTTTACCCATTACGGAAAAGGCTGAAACAAGATGAGAAAGTAATGCCAGGGAAGACCTGAACACCTTGTAAGGTAGTAGAGGCTCTTCCAAGAATAAGGGCACACGTATGAGATGGAGGGGGACCCATAATTCCAGTGGGTATTATCTGGGGCCCTTGCATGGAGTCTAATATTGTATCGGTGGTGGCACAGAGGTCCAATCCTGCGCTGCCTGGGGTGGCTCGTTGGAGGGAGGCAATCGTGGAGAAGGATTTTGAGGTAGGTTGGGAGTTTGGGAGGGAACAAACCTTATTGCCCCTGGGTTTGTCCTGGGGGAGGTTGGGGCCAGGGGCTGGCCCTGCAGGGAGTTTCCCCGAGAAGCAGGAAGAAATAGGCTGTCCAAGGGCATTTGTCTTAGATCTACACTCATTGGCCCAGTGACGACCTTTACCACATCTAGGGCAAAGGGTGGCTGGGGGCGGTTTAGCCCCGGTTTGAGGAGACGGCTATCCCTAGGCTTTGTTTGCCTGTCGGACACTCGCGTGCAAAATGGCCAGATTGTTTACAAGTAAAGCAAGTACTTGAGCCAGGATTGCGAAAGGCCTTGGTAAAGGCAGCACCTATGGTGAGACCCATGGCATGGGCTGCACCCACCCCGGCACAGAGTCTAATAAAGTCAGAAAGTTCCCCTTTATCCTTATGTGGTCGAAGAACATCCTGACATGCTGGGTTGGCGTTTTCAAAGGCAAGATGTTTTACAAAGGTGCTTTCGCTTTCGCTTGGTCCAAGCAGGCGTTCCGCGGCTAGGGCAACAAAGTCGCTATAAGGCTCCTCAGGCCCTTGTCGAATTTTTGCCAGGGAAGTGGTAGCCGAGCCCTTTTGAGGAAGGCGTCTCCAAGCATGTAAGCCAGCCGTCTGAATCTACGCCAAAAGTCCAGCAGGGAAACGCGCCTGTTTAAGGCGCATTGCCCACTAGCTTAACGTAAGTCCAGGATTTAGAGGAGGCCTTAAATTTTTTTGAGCAGTTTCCCGACAGTGCTCTTTGAAATCTGCATTCCATAACAGGAAGTCTCCGGCACTCAGGGTAGCTCGGGCTAAAAATTTCCAATCATTGGGAGTAAGCCATTGTGCGCTGTGGCTTTCAAATAAAGCCAATGTGTAAGGTGCAGTGGGGCCATAGTGAGCACAAGCCTTTTTAAGTTTTTCAAGAAAATGCAGGCTTAATTTTTTGTAGACACTCTGGGTTCCTTCCTGCCTAGGGGTGAACTCCTCATCCTCTGAGTCCTGATCCGTCCCCCCCCTCTTCCTCCTCTTGATCCTCCTCTAAGTCTTTGTCCTCAGCCTGGGCGGGCTTATCTATCTGACTGCAGGTGACTGGGAAGGCGAGAACAGGCCAATGGCGCGGCTTAGCCTTTGTATTAGACCACCTTGGGCCAGCTCAGGTTGACTCCGTGCCTAAGGCTAATGAGCGAAGCTCAGAGTCAAGGGATCTTAATTCTTTTAAAAGTTGGATCTGTTCCCATCTATGTTGGAGAGACTCTCGCAAGGGAGCCAGGTTAGGCAAGGGAAGTGGAGAAAAAATATCTGAGGGGGCAGTTGGCCCCTGAAGGGCTGGAGCACAAAAGGCAGGAGGGATATAGGAGGGAGGTGGATGTGTAAGTCCTATAGGCTGTGGCAGGGTCCTGAGAGGTGGCGGGTCTTCTGAATGGTAGTGAGCTGCTTCCTTCTCCAAGGTAGCCTCCTCCCCAGGGGGTCAATGTGTCTCCGGGATTTAAAACTGGATAAAGGCAGTTGGTAACCATTGGAGCCTTATTTATTAGGGTGGGATTTTGAGGGGGACCAGGAAGGTCCCCAGGTCCTGGGGAGACTGAGAAGGATTTATGTCTATACTAACTGAAGGGCATGCCGAGGGGGTCTTTTGCATAGCCTCTTCCCCAATCCTGACAAGTTTTAAGGTACCATTGTCAAAGGGTGAACTTTTAAGAATTTCATTAATTAAGTTCCAGTATGAAAAGGTGGAAACAGGCACTTTTTCTGGGCCAAAGGAGTCCTAATAATCTTTTAAACAGTCTCCTACTCTAAGCCATCTTTTACCATCAATGGTCCCTTCAAGGGGAAACCATGGACACAATTCTCCTATGTATGAAAAGAATAATTTTAAGTCCTTTTTCTTAACACTCGCCCCCCGTGTCTTGAGGGCCTCCTTAAGGCCTGACAAAAACAAATCATGTGATGAGACTGCTTGTCCCATGGTGGGTCACTCACCGTGCGTCGTCCTCCCTCTCCTCCTAGATCTGTCTGTCGGTCCTGTCTGCCGAGGCAATCGCGAGCTCCACTTGGCCAAGTCTTCCCGGAGGACGGCGTTCCCCCTCAGTCAAAGGCTCGAGCCAATCGTTGGGCGCCAAATGTCCCGTCCGGCAGGACACATCAGCGTGGGCAGGGAACCTAGATGGGCAGGAATGAAGGGACAAGAGACACGAAAGGTGACAGCAAGACAGGTGTCTGATCAAGCTGCAAACTTTTATTGTTCACACAGGGGTATTTATATGCTGGGGATGGGGAAGCTCTCTAATCAGCAATTGCTGGATGTGGGTGGTAAAACTGCCAGCTGCAAGATGTCTGATGATCCTGATAACCGCAGGATGTTCCAGGGAGATAGGTGGCTGCAGGATGTCTCCCAGGGGGCTGTCAGGCTGTTCTTTGAAGGAGAATTTCCTTCTAGTCCCTGACACAGCTCCTATAAGGTCTCTTGTGGGAAGTGGATAAAACATTTCAACAGTAAAGCTAACCCTTGCTGGGAGTAGGCAGCAGGCCTGCAGATGGACACGCAGCTCAGAGACGCTGACCGCCTCACCCAGCAGCTGCACCAGATGTGGAGTTGGCAGCAGCCTTGAGACGGGCTCCTCAGAGGGGTGTCATGAGGACACGCGCCATGGTGGCCTTACTCCGCCAGGAGGAGAGTGCGTCTTCACATCACTGTGGTGGGGCCTGTGGGGGTAAGCCTAGTCCTCCCCCAGGCTGGGGGCCCACGATGGTGGACACTCCTGTTAGCGGTTTCCTGCTTGCTGAGCCCCCGGAGGCCTGCACACCTCTCACACGTGAGGACAGAACCGAGCGGCTGCGGCTCTAACCTGGGCTTCCTTCCAGGCTCTGCTTGTTACTGGTTTCTTTTCTTTCTTTCTTTTTTTTTTTAAAGAGAGAGAGAGAGAGAGAGATAATTTTTAAATATTTACTTCTAGTTTTCGGTGGACACAACATCTTTGTCTGTATGTGGTGCAGAGGATCGAACCCAGGCCGCACGCATGCCAGGCGAGCGCGCTACCGCTTGAGGGGTCAGGGGAGGGGCGCAGCAGGGAGCGGTGGCCCAGAACTTGCCTCCTCCTGCTTCTGCCTCCCGCGTTGCTGGGATCACAGCGGCCCAGCAAGCTGACGCAGGTGCCCAGAGTGAGACTTGATGAGTCAGCGAGGAAGATGCTGCACACACAGCAGCCTGGAGCCCACCAGGGCAGTGGTGGAGAGTCCGCTTCGGCAGCGCCAGCAAGGGCTTTCAGGTCCTAGCAACTGTGAAGTGGCAGCCCTCAAGATCCCTCTGCTTCTAACACCTACACACATGGAACTGGCCAAAAGGGCAGGACATCTCCAGGATCCGTGGAGGAGGGACCTGCTTGGGGAGGGTGGGCTCAGAACCAACACTGCAGCCTTGGGCATGGCTGCCACTTACAAGACCTTGGCAGCTCGAGTGTCACAGGGCAGAGGACGTGAGTTCACGAGCCACGTGAGACTGGGAGCACAGACGGAGTCTGGATTCTCAAGACTGCAACTTCAATGAGAATGTTCTCCTGAACCTTCTCTCCTAGCAGCGAGAGGTGAGGGAAGCTGGACTCTGGCTAGGAGCCAGCCAGGACAAAGGCCCCTGTGTCCGTCCACCCGCTGCAGAGGCACTCTGAGCCAAGTACTTACAGGAAGGGGCCCAGAAAGCCAGTCTTTGGACAAATGGAAGAAGCCAACAGAAATGCTTAAGAGGCACGAACATGGCGGAGCCAGGCCCCCTCTGGGCCCAGATGCTGGAGTTCTGGGCGTCAGGCACTTGTTTGTTTTTATTAGAGTGTTATAGTTATATGTAGTAGCTGGGTTTATTCCAACAAAATCATACATGCAAAGAAACCGCCCCGGCCATTCCAGTTCCTGTTCCTTCTCCCTCCCTGCCCTTGTCCACTCCGCTGATCCCCCCTTTGCTTATCCATTTTCCAAGCTTTAATTGGTGCTTTCTACACACACATAAAGGTGAAATTCCCTGTGGTATTTTTATATCTGCACATAATGCGGTTTTGTTACATTCATTCCATATTCCCTCCCCTTTCTCTATCTCCTTCTTCTACTCCACTGATCTTCCCTATGTCTTCATGATATCCAATCCCTTCCCCCATTGACTTCTTTCCCTTATTTTGCTTTAGTTTCCACATGAGAGATAACATCTGATCCTTTCTTTTCTTTTTTTTATTAATATTTATTTTTTATTTTTTGGCGGACACAACATCTTTGTTTGTATGTGGTGCTGAGGATCCAACCTGGGCCGCACGCATGCTAGGCGAGCGCGCTACCGCTTGAGCCACATCCCCAGCCCTGATCCTTTATTTTCTTGACTGTCTAATTTCACTTAGCATGATGCTCTCTGGTTCCATTCATTTACCAGCAAATGCCACTCATTCTTC